TTAAACTCGTATTTACCTGTTATGCAAAAAAATAATCCCTCCGGGCAAACATGGCGAGAATTAGACTTATCTAAAATAGCACCTGTTTTTTTTAAATCGACTTTCCCGACACTCGGCCTTCCAAATTACATACAATTCAGTTCACATAACTCAAACATTAAAAACGCCCCGCAGTTGAAATCACTCGCATACACAACGCGATTTGTAAATTTGTATAATTATTTTATAACAAGTCAATAAACTTTATTTGGTATCGTTTACGTCAGGAAATTGGTTTCATTATTGAACTGCTTGAAAATAATAAGAACGAGACAAACATATGGATATAGTTTTTATGAAAATGATTAGCTAGCCTAGTCTGCTGATTATATAAAATCCATTATAATGGATTGAAAATATGAAAAGCCAAGTTTTAACCATGTGCTTAATTCCGTTTCCGCTGAACTTAAAAGGAAATACCCTGCGGAAATGAAATTTAGAACAAGGCGGTATAATCACATATTTTTAGAAAAATGAAAACATTAAAAACAATCTAGCATTGGTCCAGTTTTGCACTGTTTAAAATATTTTCTTAATTGCGGACAAAGCCAGGCCAGGGAAAATTGTCTAACCTAAGGCGTTTGGGCGATTTTTTAAGGCACTTAAGACGTTTGCGAAATATAAAAGCCAGTTTGCGGAAATGAAATTTAGAACAAGGCGGAATAATTTTTTTTTGACAAATTAACACAATAAAATTTTAATCACCAGCACTTTTCTAGTTTTGCACGGCTTGAAATATTTCCTTAATTGCAGACAAAATCGAGCCAGGAAAAGAGGCAGTGCAAAACAAACGGATCCCAAACGGGCTTAGATTTTTCCATTGTAATTGCAAATTACTAAAAATTAGCTGTAATTCAATAATTGAGTTATGCTGGTATCGATTTAATTGACTTGGCAAATGCAGCTTTCAAAATCGCGGACCTTCCTTGACATTCCGCCGTCCACACACACGCCCCTGATTCGCTCAAATCAATTAAGTTAACCCTAACCCCTCGGTGGAAACGGCTTCAACCCCCGCTGCAATTAAGAGTAGCGTTGTTTTCTTTAATTGCCGCCAGTCAGGTATTTAACTATTTAAGCGGCGATTAACACTCGCGGAACTGGTTTAGCTTTTCCTGGCATCCCCGCCGGACTTCCCCCCCACCGTTCTCCCCCCAACTTCTATGTCAGTCGGTCAGGCCGTCCAATCACTTCTAGATTTTTTTGTTTTGTTTTGCTATTTATCACATGGACAAGAGGCCGTTGCGGATTGCAACATCGCTGCCAGCCGGCTGCACCAGTTTTTTGCTTGATTTTTCTTTATATTTTGATGCATACATTTTGTGCGGCTGGCATCGCCGAGTGCTAATCGACAATGCTAAATTACCGCGCACAATATTACAGAAAATCACGGTTTGTCGGCTAATGGAGAGCTGCATACGGAAATTTGAGCAGAATGTTGTTTTTCGGCTAACTACTGTGGCTTTGGTATTCCTTTGTTTTCGGCTGTTGCACCATGTGTGTGATTGATTCGCTAAGAGCGAACGTTTAATTAAAATCAAAAACCGAAATACAAAAGCAGAACGGCCCATATTCATAATTAATCAGTTGTCCGCCTTTTTGAACTTATACAGCTAACTCGGATTTTGCCCGAAACGGCAGTGTTGCAATACCCAACCGCAGATTTATTGATTTGACACTTGGCCTTGGGTGAATAACCACTCCTAGTGGGCACACATGACTAATCTGTTATCTATCTGGTCTTTTCATTGCAGGATTACCTCACAATGTTCTACGACGGCTGGCGGGATCTGATGGACAACAAATCGGACCCGCGAACACGAGACTACCCGCTAATGAGCTCGCCGTTCCCCACGATAGCCATCAGTCTGACATACGCCTATATCGTGAAGGTAAGTGGTCCGGGATTGGGGAATCACCAATCCATAATTATTGGAGTGGGGATCGAACTAAAAATGGACAGAGCAGAACAGAACAGAACACAACAGAACATCATTCCGATGGGGGCAATTTACGCTGATTTCGTAGACCATAACTGGCAGATTCTCATCTGGTGATTGTGCGGATCCTTTTCGCAAACTAGTTTCGCTTTATTGCATTGCAAAATGACTGTGAAGCCCCAGCTGGGGGTTCAGGGCCATACGACGATCATCTCGAAGAGCTGCTGTCGAAAGGTGACCCAAGCACAGACCGCGATTATGCAAAATTGAACAAAAAATCAATTCGAAAAACGATTTCTATTTAGGTTTCCCGCTTTGCATTGGTTCACATTCATAATTTTACAAAAGCATTTAACTTACTTTCACATGTCTGCTAAAATCGAGCGGGGAAGAGGGGAGGGAAGGTGAGCAGCGGTGTCTGGCCAAACAAAAGACTTAGGCAACGAACTTGTCACAAAACCAACAGACAAAGTCGGTCGCGTCGATTGATTTGATTTGATAATTGCTGCAACAGGCTTTGGCCTCTGTTTGATTATGTTAAATGACACGCGAAGACATTTTTGAGATCCGCGGTGAAGAGGATGCACTTACAGTGGTACTGATCAACGATTTGTTTCAGGTACTTGGACCCAAGCTCATGGAAAACAGAAAGCCTTTCGAGCTCCGCAAAGTCTTGATCGTCTATAATGCAGCACAGGTTATCTTCAGTGCCTGGCTCTTTTACGAGGTAATATAAGCAATCTTTATTGAATGAATTCCGCAGAAAAATAACCACTTTTTCCCTTCTTTCGCATTTATAGTCCTGTATAGGTGGATGGCTGAATGGCTATAACTTGCGATGCGAACCCGTTAATTATTCCTACTCGCCCAAAGCGATTCGCGTAAGTATATATGGATGCTCTTATATACCGAGCTAAGCAAATACATACCTTTAGCCAAACATCGGGCTATAAATTTTGATTTTTAGCTTATGGTTGGCAAATAGCAAAGTTCTTTTGTTGACTGGAACAGATTTTATGTAAGCAACCAGTTTTTAGCCACGCAGAGTCAAGGAATTATAAAAAACGACAATAGCGACAGGTTCTCTTATGCTAATCACAAGAAATGGATACCGAAAGCCGGCCGGCTGTGTGGCGAGTGGATTGTGCGGATTGAGGAATCTCACGTGTGTCGCCAGGCTGACTAAACTGGGTAAACGACCCAAAGAAAGTGGCAGTCTTAGAAAGTTGACATGCGAAAGATTTTGCAAATCACCCATTTTTCGTTATTGATAAGCATGGAGCTTGTCCAACGGTTAGTTCCAGGGCAAACGGAATCAATCTACCCAAGCTGTGACCATTCTTTGCATAACAATGAATGGCTAAAATATTGGATGTGAATAAGCTTAGATACTAGTTTGAACTAGGATTCTGGATAAATTGTTAGAGAATTTCGGACGGTGCAAAAACGAGTTTAGTTTCCTAAAGGAATTGTAAAAGGGAAAATACCATATCTGTCAAAGCAATTTAGAAACGCTTAGAGATTTAGAGACCAATCCATTTAATGTATTTAAAAATGATTATTATTTTAATTAATGTTTGCTATTATTATTACTTATTTTTTTAGTAATAACATTTACCCCCTTCCTTTTTAGACCGCTGAGGGTTGCTGGTGGTACTACTTCTCCAAGTTCACCGAGTTCTTCGACACGTTCTTCTTCGTGATGCGCAAGCGGTACGACCAGGTGTCCACGCTGCACGTGATCCACCACGGCATCATGCCCGTGTCCGTCTGGTGGGGCGTCAAGTTCACGCCCGGCGGCCACTCGACCTTCTTTGGATTCCTGAACACCTTCGTGCACATCTTCATGTACGCCTACTACATGCTGGCCGCGATGGGCCCCAAGGTGCAGAAGTACCTGTGGTGGAAGAAGTACCTCACGGTCATGCAGATGATCCAGTTCGTCCTGGTCATGGTGCACTCCTTCCAGCTGTTCTTCAAGAACGACTGCAACTACCCCATCGGCTTCGCCTACTTCATCGGAGCCCATGCGGTGATGTTCTACTTCCTGTTCTCAAACTTCTACAAGCGCGCCTATGTGAAACGCGACGGCAAGGTAAGCTCATTACATTTGATAGATGTTGGTAAATTTTATCAGAAGAGGAAAATATGTATAAAACAAAGTTCTGTAAAACTTCTAGGCCTTAAAAACCTTTTCAACGATTATATATTGTTAAGTTCTGTATACTCTTTGCTTGTTTTTTTTAATTATACTCATAACACTTTCTTATGTAAACCACTTATGAAATACAAAAGCAATTTTAACTATTGAACCCTCTTCAGAATTTGAACATTACATAAAATTGATTATACTTTTAAAGTGCTTTTAATTACTTTAATATTATCAAATTTTCTTATGTTAAGACCACACATTTTTTATAAATGTAAGATCATATATTTATTTAATTCCACCATAAGAAAATTAGGCTTTTCCTAAAGAGACTTTTCCCAAATACTTTATAAAGAATGACATTGATAAGAATGTCTCTAATTTTAGAATGTGTGCAGTTTATAGTAGTTTAAACTAATTGTTCTGTAGCAACTAACTCTTCCTTACATATTTTCCCAAATTAAACAACATTAACTCATCTAAATTCTTATGCTTTCCAGGACAAACCGGCGGTCAAGGCGAACGGACATGCCAACGGACACGTCAAGGCGCTGAAGGACGGCGATGTGGCGCCCACCCGCAACGGCCAGGCCAACGGCTTCCACAACTCCTTCTCGAAGTTCACCACGGATATGTGCAATCCGGCCCTGAACTCCTCCACGAGACAGCGCGTCCTCGTGAACGCCGGCAACAAGTGAGCCCCGCCAGCCAACCAGCCAGCCAGCCAAACATGAAACACACATAAGCATAAATTAATTACGCTACCAATTAAATTACCGTACATTTAAATTAAACGTAAGCATAGGGAGTCCAAGCCTACATCTAAGCCAAATCGAATTCGCATCAAGATTAAAGACAAGGAAACAAAAACATTATTTCATGGACAATCCATGGTGATCGCACGTAGGGATCACACTGGTGATCGCTGGCCAACTGCTCTGTCTACCGATCATTTCTCAAATAATAATACTTCATATCCACATTTAGACCCCAAAACTATCCACATCCCGTCATCCATGTGCATGTACATAGATCGTTCATTGCCGCTGAGGGTTTCAGTGGCACTCTCGGCGAGTTCGGCGTTCATATAATTTTAATACTTTTAAATACACCCTTTGGGGACGAGGCGATGGTCCATACCATTCCACGGCTCGTTCGCCAAGTGTATCTGCTTTACGTATCTATCGCTCTACACTTTTGTATTTTTGGTTATGCAAGCGACGCCTTTAATACGTGTATATTATTTCTATGGATTGTTTTGAACAAAAGAAATGTGTTTTTATTTTATAAATAAATTCGAGATTAAACGTACAAAACACACTTTCTTTTGTCTTGGAATGGTTTGGATATGTTTCTGGTCTTGAGTAAAACCAAACAACATTGACTTGCTATATTTGTGTTGGCTTGCTCTTTAGTCAGTAATCAAATAAATTTTAAATAAAATGATATTACAAAATTATTATACTTCTTTCATTCATTCATTTTGGTAAAGAAAGAAAGAAGAATACTTTTGGGATTGGGAACAGTTGTACAGTTGGGACAGCATGGTGGGTCTTGGCTATAAGTATTGGAAATTTAAAGTTGGTTAGGACTTTGTTTATCCTTTTGAATGTTTAAATTGAACTATTTTCTGCAATATAAAATTATTACTTTGGATTTTTCAATGGAACTTAAACACCTTTTTCTGTCTAGCACGAACAAATTAAAAGTCCTTACCTCAGCATTCTTCTTGAAGGCCAGGTTGATGTCGTAGATGGCAGGACAGATGCCCCGCATGGTTGGAAGACTGGTGGTGAATCCCTTGGTGCTTGAACACGGGAAGACCTCGTTCCTGGGCAAACTTCACGGACAACTCGTGCTTGGCGGCAGTGAAGCGAGTGCCCTCAGCATTGAGTAACAGCCACACCGGATCCGGATGGGAAAACTGCTGACTCTTGATCACTATCTTGTCCTTCTCGAAGTTGCGGTCGAAGTTGGTGATAATCCAAGCGGTTAGCCAGTCAGTCTCGTAAGTGTGATTCATCAGCAACAGTCCGTGCTCCTTGCCAAAGAACCTTTTCTCGTCCTCGGGATCAATGTAGACCAGCAGTTTGCTGCCTGCATACCATTCCGCCACACAGACTAGGACTAAGAAGGGAGAACATTTAAAAAATATATTAAAATACTTAAAAAATTCCAGATTTCTATGTATCTACATTAATATACTTGTTTTAAACTCAATTTCATGTTTTAATAAGGGTTTATAAGCTTCATGCTCTTTTGTTAAATGATCTTATTAGAAAACTTTAAAAGAAAAGTCTAAATATAGAAGAAAAGCATATTTTAACTAGAAAAACATTGAAACTAAACCAATTTTGCTAACCTTATCAGGAACTATTCTCTCCGGAAATGTGACAAAAACCAAAACATTTTTTAAAATTATATATTTTATACTTGGTATACTTACTGCTGTAGAAAGAGTAATGGAGGTAGTACATAAGACTTCTAGAGAGTCGCTTGTCGAAGGGTCTCACAAGAATAATCAGCAAAAGCTGTCCAATGTTGACGAAGATTCCGCACGTGAAGAAGGTCACGGCGATTAGTAGTCGCCCCAATCCCCTGAGATGCGACATCCTATGCTAAAAATAAAAAATGCCAATAAAATCAATGAAATTCATGTTCTGCAATGCAGTTAATAAATATGTCCAGCGTGCGATATCGATTTGATTATGGCCTAGGGATCCTGGCACCTCTATCATACATTGATCCTGAAAAGAAAGGAAACAAAGATGCTCTTTTCCACACCACCTTGGAGGTAGAGGTGTAGGCGCGTTTTTTTTATAGTCGTATCCCCAAGAGGCCTAATCGACTTTGTAACACATTTACATTTTGAGAAAGTAAAATAAAATAAAAATGTTAGTTTCAAATCAAAAACTAAAATAAAATGAGTATTATATGAAATACATATTAAACTATATTAAACTATATAATATACTACTACTTTACTATGCTATATAAATCATCCATCCGTTTGCGTGCTCTGGTCTTTCCTAGTTGGTCCAGTTTCATCGTTAACTCCCTTTAATATGTCAACTCGAAATTCCAATGCCGCAAAGGTCGAGACGTTAAAAAATCTAGAGGTTGATTAGAAATTTCTGTTTTTAAAGTGTCCCTAAAATAAGATGGCGTGGTAGTCTCATTCAAATCAAAAAATTTTTTAAAAACGTCTTTGAAACTATCTTTGAAGAGTGGTTTTGTATACAAGTCTCCTAATAAGACTTCTGTAAACGAAACATTTGTTATTGCTTTTAAATGATTATAATCCCAAAGTCTTGGGATTTGAGAATCTACCCTTTTAGCATTAATTGGATTGTTGTCAGAAATAACCGCCAGCAAGAGATGACTAACATTTTTATCTTTTAAAAAGTTAATAATTAAATTTAACACATTGTTAATACGTTCGCCCGTATTTCGAAGGACAACTTCAATAAATACTATTTGAAAGTGAGACCCATCGAAGGTCTGCATGGCGTAGGTGGATGCCCTGTAACTTATTTCAGTCTCTGGAATCTGAGAAAATGGTTGATTCCTATATATGGTTATAACATATATGTGGGCGGAAGACATTATGGGCGTTATGGGCGCTTCCTTCTGCCTGTTACATACTTTCCGACGAATCCAATATACCCTTTCCTCCGAGTAACGGGTATAACTACACTACTATCTTAAAACAAATAAAAACTTACCTTCGGTAGCCATAGCTCGTCGACCAGGAGGCTAAAGGGCTTCGTCCAATCCCACCTGGCGTTCAGGCTTCCCAGTAGAGAGACGGATCCTTTGCTAATCTTTTCATTAGCCCAAGATAGTGTAGCCGCCGACACCTCTTCTATCCGGCGCCCATTAGGCAGCTGTAAATGATTAAAAAATTTAACGGCATGTAATACCTGCATTGCATCAATATCTGGAACATCAACATTACCAGATTCTAGGAGCTCGTAAGATTCATCCACGTCCATCTCGTCGTCCCGCTTGCAAAATTGTAAACAAAAAGAAAGCCATGCCAGTGTTGGGAAGGATGATAGAAAACTACTGTTTATTTTGCTAAAGTACCTATCGGAAATCGACTTTGAATTTGCAGATTAAGTGAACAATGGCATTTCTATTCTATTCTTAAAAAATAATGAATTCTTTTAAATACTTTGTTTTTTCCATTGACTTTTGCGAATCAAGCTAATCAGTTGATGGTGAGTCGCCAATGATAAGCTTGAAAACCCGATACCGATAGAAAATTATAAAACCAGTGTGCAAAAATAATTGGAAATTTGCTGGAAACAATTTGTTCTATTATACAGAGTTCTATTTTTCTAATATGGATTTGAAGTACCACAACAAAGATGTTGTGCTAGAGATCAAGGGATCGGAGGCGCTCTTTCTCAACACCTCCATTTTGGACGTGTTGAAGTCTTTGAAGGAATTGTCCGAGCCAGCCGGAGATGCAAATTCTGGCTGTCCCCAAGAGACGGAGGGAAGAAGAAGAAGAGGTAGGGCCACATTTGTATACCCTTGCAGAGGGTATTATGATTTAAGTCAGAAGTTTGCACCTCATAAAGTATATATATTCTTGATCAGCATAATATAACCTCCTACGCCTGGAAATACAATTTTTAATTAGTTCTGGATTTCGATTTAAATTTTATCAAAACCGGACGACTGTCAAAGAAACGGTCTGAGAATTAATGAAATAATTATTTTTAAAAAATTGTGCTTTGATTTTGATCGTATTTTCTTTAACTCTGGGATATAGAATTTTTTATAGAGTCTTTTCTTATATATTTAATTTTACATATGTATTTGATTGCATTCCAGCCTAAGACACCCGGAAAAAAAAGGACGGAAATCTAACTCATTCGAGGAGCTGGAGGAAACAACTTTCCATCCTCAGTCACCCTTCGAGGAGCTGGAGGCCAGTGGCTCCAGCTCAACAACTCTCCATGGCTCTCCCGAGACCCTCGCCCACTCGTCGCCGTTGCAGCCTCTGAGCCACAGTAAGCTCATTCCTATTACTCCATGAGTATGTACAATCTTCCTTATTTTTCAGTACGAAACACCGAGGACCTAAAGGCAGGCGAGGTCTCATGGTTCCCACAAGCCAAGACATGGGGACTAAACGTGGATGAGATCCGCAAGGTCTACTGGGACAAACTAGAGAAAGTGCATGACTGCTTTGAGTGCGGCGTCATCCTCCACAGCCACAAAGCCCTAGTAGAACATGAGAAGTTGGACGACCACGTCCAGGAAAAGGAGAGGATCGATAAGTTTTTTAATTCGAAGGCAAAATCTTTGTGTCCAATCTGTGGAGCTAAGGCTCAAAACAAAACGAAGCTGAGGAACCACATCATCAGGCACTTCCATTGGACCTTTGGTTGCAAAGAGTGTACCAAGTTGTTTTGCTCTATCAGGAGCTACAGGGACCATCGACATTCGCCAATTCCAAACGAAAACAAGGAAGAACGCTATAGTCGAGTACCTCGACTATCAGATACCCGTTACTCAAAGGGAAATGGAGATATGCAAGCAGCAAAGCGAGATTAAAATGCGCCACCTACCGGCGGTAGACAGATTTAAGCGTTATGGGCGTTAGAGTGGGCGTGTCAAATTTATTTTTGGATCAATCGATAGGTATTGAAGACACCAATACATTTCAGTTAAAATTTTTTATCTAGCATGAAAATTGTGGGCGTCACAGGTTTTCGCGGTTTGTGGGCGTTTAAGTGGGCGTGGCAAACTTTTTTTTAGGTCAATCGATAGGTTTTGATGAGAACAATACATTTCAGCTAAAATTTTCTATCTAGCATCAAAACTGTAGGAGTTACAGTTTTGGGCGGTTTGTGGGCGTTAGAGTGGGCGTGGCAGTCTACTGAAACAAACTTGCGCTGCGTAAGAAGATCAGGAATCTGTACGCCAAATCTCAATAGCCTAGCTCTCATAGTTTCCGAGATCTCAGCGTTCATCCGGACAGACAGACGGACAGACGGACATGGCTAGATCGACTCGGCTAGTGATCCTGATCAAGAATATATATACTTTATGGGGTCGGAAACGCTTCCTTCTGCCTGTTACATACTTTCCGACGAATCTAGTATACCCTTTTACTCTACGAGTAACGGGTATAAAAAATATGCCTGCGAGTGTGGCTGCACTTTCGTCGAGCAGCGCAACTTAAGACTGCACAAGTCCAGCTCGATTCATAAGAAAAGAATGGTAAGTGGATATATATATTGTATATTATTTGGTTATAACTTTCCATTTTCTTATACAGGCTTTTATAAACCCCCAAGGCGCAGAGCCGATCGCGGAGCCGGAGACCGTTGGCGACTTAATGAGTCTCATAGCGGACGAGTCCTTCCCTGACCTTTTTGAATAAACAGTTATATATATTAATATTCATTATCTACTTTTGTTTTGGATTGGGGCTAATTTTGAAATCGTTAAATTTTTAAATTGTGGAAGCATAAATATATTGAATATAGGGACAAATCTGGCCACCGAGGGCGTTTTCTACTTTTTGCTTTGCTTTTTACATTTCAACGTAAATCCCCAAAAAGCGCACGTAAAATTTTCAAGGTGTGTAAATCCCCAAAAAGCGCACGTAAAAAAAAAAGCTATAAAATGGCTGTCATTTGACATTTCGCTTGAAAGTATGCAACACAATGCTAACCCTAAAGTACCCGAAGCAAATTATAGCATACTTAAGGGATCAATTGCTATTCTGTTGGCCAACTCTTGTTGTTGGTTCAGCTGATTCGGGTTTGGCTCTATTGTAACGCTCGCAGGGAGATTTATTATGTAATGTCCCGTATGCGGTGTGTGCTCATCCCTTTTGACTGCTTCGTTTAAATCTAGAAATAATTGTCAAAGCCACTTTAGAGAAAACATTGATGCCAAGCTGATAGAAAGCTAATTTTGGCCAAAGCGATCATTTGGCCAATAGAGCGTGCCACATGAAGCCGGGCAATTAGGCATGTTCACAAAATGACAGTGCAAGCGTTGGAAGAAAGTGGTAATTTGCAACTGTACAAGAGTGAGTTTGGGAACATCGAAGTATAAATACCCTTTAATAGCTAGGTATATATATATATTTACGTGACTTGTAGCGTCAATTGAACTACACAAATGTTGTCTTGACTTAAGGCCGCTTTTTATCTGTCAAAGAAAGTTGGCATGAGACACAAATTCTTTTATTCAGTGGACAATTCTCTATCAGAAATCTGAAAAAGAAGAGTAGGATAACTTTTTATTGTCAGTTTCGACAGACGAATTTAACTGGCTTATAGTTTCAGTCGAAAAAAACATTACATCATACTGAGAAACCAACATTTTCAAATTATGAAAGAGGTTTATATTATGTTTCTTTGTCGCTTATTCAAAATGAGCCTAAGAAAATATATTCTTTAGCTTGCCTGAAGGACAATGCAATTAGTCTTTTTTAAGTTTGCCAAAATCATTTCTAAAAAACTTAGTCTGAACTTCGATATTTTCCATCCTAATTTGCTAAGCAAAGAACAAGTGAAGAATATACCGAATAATTTTTCTTAACTGGTATTCAGCTGAATAGCGATACTTATTTCACTGTCCTTAATACAGTCAA